GCAGCACCTGTGGCCATCACTTGCCCAGTTTCCCAGCTGTGGAAGACACAGGTGACAATCTTTGGTCACCCGCATTTACAACTGTTAGGCGCAGTGCAGTGCAGGGCCATTAATGACTTCTTGTGACTTGCTAACACCGCTCCATGAAGGGCTAAGTGACTCTAATCAATTGAAACATGCAGCATACAAGTATGTTGTGTAGTGCAAATTCAGCAGCAGAAATCCAATGGCAGAAATTCAGCAGCCGTAAAGATCAAATGGATTCTAATGGCAACAATGCTGGAATTCGGCATAACTTCTGCTGTATTATGTTCTATTCAAACCCATCCTGCGAACATTAGCCGTAGCGCCGTAGCGGTACAATGCATGTAGAGGTCAGCCCGATTAGGCAACCCCGTGGGTTCTCAGTCGAGAGACTTCCTGGACCGTTCGGGCTGAAGAAGGGGTATCCAGTGATATTCAACATACCAATGAACACAGAACTCAAGACTGTGACAACCGTTGTTGCTGCAAGGCTGACGCTTTGGATATCCGATCAAGTTCGAATCTGCCTTTTTTTGACACGCTTGGAAAGGGCAAACGCTGTCGGCTTCATTTCCAACGAAAAAGACCTACGATGCTCACAGGCCTGTGGTAGCCATCTTGGCAACCAATGTGGAGAGAAGTGCAGCAATAGCTCCTTCGTGACCAAAAGGCATGATCCCCCCCAAACGAAGCGACAAAACATAGCGAAACTACTTACCAATGGTGGCTTGCTTGGGAAATGCGAGGGCACTCGAGCATCTTGAAGTTGGTGCAAGCTGCGGTGACGTCTTATCATTCTTATCATTTAAACATGAGCTGTTGCCCTGCAAACATGTCTTTCTATGTCTTTCTTGAGGAGTGTAACAGTGTATGTTAGTGTAATCAATCACCATTTCCACGTCGTTTCATCGGGTTCCACGGGGGTTTCCCCAACCTTAATGGCAGCATCACCTCCCCATGGCTATGATCGCAACACCTTGGACAAAACGATCAAAGTTTCTCTGAAGATGGGAACAAAACGTCACTCCAAGGGGATTTTTGTTGGGAGATGGGTCGAACATGTTGTAAGATGTGTAAGTACCCTCCGGCAATCAAACATGGCAATATAGAAAATCACTGATTACAAATGATTCTCCGGTTAAAAACTCCATTTATACAGGATTTCCCCAGTTTCTTGCATTTGCAGCGACGAAACTCCACAGTGACCGTATACAGCACCGAGCAAGGCACCAAACCTTCTTGGACTGTGACCAAAGACTCTGCCAGCTGGGGATTCCCATGGTGCAGTCATAGATCCTGGGTAGCACAGCTGTCAATTCTATGCCGAGCTATTCCAGGATGAATAGGAACCAATACCCACCTAGTGCCACCTAGTCTCGTAGAGCCTTGAAATGGTCCAAGAACTCTGAATGGGTTCTCCATGTGAAAAAGCAGTGGGTCATCACTTCCCAAGTGTTGCAATATGCTTTCGAATGCTAGCCCAGTTGCTGGTTATCAGCTTCTGGATCATAGCTTGCCGCAATCCCTTAGTCAATAGCGCGCTTCAAACGTAGAGACCTTGAAAACACGCTTAGTGCAACATCAGGAGAAAATAACATGATCTCACGAGAGCACAAGTCGTGAGACAGGACATGCAGATTTCAGAAGTGCCATATGAGTAATAAGCTATAGGATGTATGATTATACACAATATATTATATACATTGTTAGTCAATGTATTTAATCGGTATACCGTATTTGGGATCGTGTCTATCATGACCCCCGCCCGTGGCTGGTTAATGGCAAGCCATGACTCATCAACCTGCCCCACCTGAGCAACGTTCAAAACCCGTGGGTTTTTATGGATTTCCAAAATGTATCCAATTGTATCCATAAACATCCAGGAAGTAAAAACGGTTAAGCACCCTCAAGAAATTGGATTAAATTGGGTAGTATCCAATATGCACAATTCTATCGCAATATAATCATCAACCAACAATGTCAATGTTATTTTTTAAACACTGCTCCACCTTACACAACGAGTGTTCCCAGCGAGTTATCGTTCGGATATGGCCAAGAAGCTATGACTGAAGTGGCCATGCATCGCATCACCATGTCGGATCACCTGGATGTAGTGGTCGCGATGGACGATCTTTTCCGCGCAGGCTTTGTTTTCCGAAAAGCCTCAACTGCCAGGGAACCCCATGGGCTACCCCATATGGATCCATGTATGGTATAATATATGCTAACATTTGGGGTATATTGATGGTAAATGTTACCATATATAATCATATATAGCATACATGGATCCTATGGGTACAGCAATGGGGATCCCAACGGGCGCAACGGGGATCCCGTTGCGGGCCAGGACAAGGGGCAGCACCATCGCTGATGTCTCAGGGTCCATGCTTCACGCCAATGCTCGAAGCCGAGATTGCAATCATAGGCACCCGTGCCGCGGACGTTCCTGGGTTTCGAAGCCGAGCAAAAGTTGCACAAATGAGCTCCACCCTTTGGAACATGATCCGTAGATGATTTACGTATGAAACATGGCCATTTTCAGGTTCTTTTTATGCAAATCTACGGGCACCGTTTGGACCCCACCGCAGAAACGCAAGATAACGAAAGAATTAGAGAAATGCTCCCCCTTGAAGCTACCCATGTGTCAGAAAACCAGCGCCATAAGACACGGATCCCAGGGTGTCTGAAGATCCCTGGCGTAGCATCATCAGCAGCTGCGTTCTGGGCGTTCTGTGCGTGAAGGATGGCGGCGATGATGAAAATGGTGGCCTCATTGGATCCCTGAACCTGCTGAAGCCATAGATGCCATAGTGATTATCATTGGATCCCTGAAAAACCCGCTGAAGCATGCTGAAGCCATAGTGATTGTCACCAGGGTTTATAGGCAAACATGGGCAACGCGTCGATTGGAAATGCATCAGGCAGGTATCGCTGGGATTTCACAGCCGCTACGGGTGGAGACTGCATCAGTGGGCAAAGTCTGAATTTTGAAGCACATGGGTAATCCATGCAATGTTTTACATTTATATAATTTGAAGAAACGAAATCCCAGTATATCAGTATATCCCCGTGATTCTTTCCATTTTAGCCCATGACACCTACCGATAAGCTATGTTGCCACCAGCAGTGCGCCGCTCGCGATCGCCACACACTGCGGCCTGCTGTGCCAACACCATGTTCCCCCACTATTTGGATCATGTGCCGGGAAATAATCGCACATAGAGCCCTCATCATCTGAAAACACCAAAGTCCATCTTGCCCAATGACACTGCCAATCTAGCTCCCCAGAAACAAGAATTAAACCAAACCAACCGCCCTTTCTGCTGGCACCTGCATTGATAGCCTTGGACCAAGGTCCTGTGTTGCTTTTCATAGTTGCCGCGGCCACGGCCCACGAATTCCATTTCGTTCACCTATCGGGCAGCTGGCGCTGACGAAGCTGATGAATGTAAAAACTCAAAGATTAAGTGATAGGAATAACTCCAAATATAACTTTTCCATTCCCAAAGCATTTGCAGGAAAAGTGATATATCAACGATGTTAAGTACCCCCCGCACCTACCCCAATTGAATAGATCCAACGCATTCCAAAACGAAACATTTGCTCCAAGGAATCTGGGGTGGGACTTGTGGTAATATTCGGGGGAAGCTGGGGGAATCTTGATCTTGATGGAAGGGACGAGCTGATCAAAACTTAAAGCGAAAAAATACGGAAAACAGGTCTCGAAGTGACATTGCCTCAGTTGGACAGCCAATACATGACGCATATATGGAGCCTGATCATTTGTTGTGGTTTAGTAATGTTTATATAGTATAATTAGCACACTTGACAGTCTCTATCACAAGTGGTGGCCCAGTTGCTTTCGCCAAAACCGTCTTTGGGAAAGTGCATTCATTCCCCAACAGGGCACAACCGGCACAGGTGAAAATAGGAAGGGGAATCTATTTCTATCCTTTTTGAAATCATCGGTCCTTTTTTCGAAAACCCCAGGTAGTGTGCATTCTTTTTCTGCCTGGACAAGACAGTAAAAAACCAGGGGTACAGTGTACAGATGTGTACAGCACCTGACTGAACGAGCCATGTCCGTGGCCCACATAGTGATATCCTTGTCGCTCACGACGAGGGCCATCGTTAAAGCAGGACTGGCACGTGGCAACAAAAGAGCTTTGACCACATTGTGCCATCAACCAGAAAGCCAACTACTTGGGAAAGTGGCACAACATGACACGAACCAAATGCCCAAGCATGCCCAAGCATGCCCAAACATTCCCCAAACATGCCCACACGTTCCCAAACTTTACATGATTGCAATTATGCCGGCTCTACGTCTTCGCACTCACAAAAGCCGTCACCTTGACTGGGCATGAGAACTACACCATGCCGCGCCCCAGCCATTGGTCCAGCAACCAGCGGCTGCCAACCGAGGGCAGCAGTTGCTGATCGTGAGAGCCAAAATTCTCATGGCAATGTCTTTCTATGTCTTTCTGTATAGCGTGTCTCCAATAAGTAGGTTCATCCACCTATACCCACCCACCTACGAGTACAACCATGCCAATCGAATACACACTTCCCTGCGCACAGTGCAAAGGCGGCGAGTTTCGGAACATGTCTTTCATGTCTCCAGGTTATAGCTTTGCGATTCTCTGAGCATTTCACATCTCAATGACTTTGCGGAACTACGCAAAGGGATGCATCTGAAATGGCAAGTCCCCCATCTTCAGCGATCTAGAGCAGGTCCACGCACCCTATCTTGAGCTGCAATGGCCTCATCATGGTCCCTTTTTGGCCAACACCAACCCGCAACTGGGCACACAGCCCTGAAATTTCGGACCCCCAATGCCAGCTGATAGAACCAGCTGTGGTCACATGACACAGGGAAGGCAGTGCAAATTGCAACCTGAAAGGTGCTGTTCTGCTGATGACTTCTTTACCACGGGCATATTTCAGGGTGAACTCCATGGTTTCCGGTGATGCTCTCACTGCCACGCCGATCGCAGTCGCCCAGTGAGGGATTTCTCACCTGGCTACGGCCCTCCAACAGATTTGCAAGTCATGGTCATGGTGGAACATTCTCTCTCCTAAGTTGCTTCCTCTCCAATCAAGTGGAGTGTGTATATATATATATGTGTGTGTGTGTGTGCGTGTGTGTGTTTATATGTTTGAATGTATGAAATATTTTTAGATAATAGATATGTTTTAGTGTTTTAGATCCATTTAATTGGCACTGGGTGAAGACATGACGTGACTCTCGTTGGAGTCTGTTGAGCAGGTACCAGTGAGATGGATTCTTCTGACACGACATTGAAGACCTCACAGTTGGCCTATATAGCATGACCTCGTGTAAAGTATTGCATGAATAGACTGTTTCTTCTGGGCAATTCTCAGAAGTTGAATGCATGTCTCGGCCAAACAGCCAGCATACAGCGGTCGCAAGGTTACAGTAACCCGAATAACCAAAGAATATTTTACCGCTTTGACTGTATTAGCACAAGGTTGGATATTCTACTTTTTTATTTTTACTTGGTTTTGGAGTATTTTGGAGTTGCCCCATATCTTTCCAACAACTCCAGAGGTTTTACTCCAAACATCTCCGATTCGCATGGCAAGTCACACGCAGTGATGGCAGCAGTGAAGGTGATGTCGTTGATCAAAGGACTTGGCAAGCCTTGGAGGAAACCGGTCACTGGGGTACCCCATGGGTAGCCCTGTGATCACACTCCGTTGGTTTCAACATGTTTCAACAAATGTTGGATTGCTTTGGGGTGCCCAAATTTTGAGAATATACTGTACATGTATCATCAAGACCTGTTGGTGCCCAAACCAGGCCTCTACAATGTAATGTCAAACAGAGTATGATAGAAGGGATAGCATGTTCCGATTCCCAGGCCCATTGTCAAGGACACACCATTCAATCATGGAAAAGGCACACGGTTATTCTGCTTGTTTGAGCAGCATCTACGTGCTGTCATTCACCAAGTGGCAATGCAAATTTTATATATATATATATATACATGCGTGTAATAGATTTAAACATCAAAAACACTCACACTCGGGTGAAATGTCGCCAAATATCAGGTCCTTGTAGAAGCACCAACCCACAAGTCGTGAAAAATGTCAGCCTTCACCCGTGACACGTCCAATGTTGACCCAGGATTCATCAAGCTTCAGTTTACTCGTAGCCGGGGGGGTTGTCCCCAAACTAGTTAGTTCCAATCAAGCCGCTAGATAATACTTATATTATATATATATAGTAGATTCCACCCATGTTAGTAAATTGAGATAAATTGAGTAAAGTGGGGCTTTGCAAATACTGGGCTAGCATTAAACCTGAGGGACTTTGAAGAAGGAAGAGCGAAGTCTGCCAGTGACAGGCACTGATCAAGGCAGCCTCAGAGATGGGCCCTGCAGTTTAACTCACCATGAGCTCAGCTGGCCAGCTGGATACATTTGCATACAAACTTGCATATACATATACATATACATATACGTATACATATACGGTTCCGCGATGGTTTCGGCCCACCATGCCGGCAGTGATTCTTAGCTTTTTTTCCAAGACAGCCTGTGCGCCTCATGCCTTCATGCCAACATGTTTTTGTACAGAGCAAGTTCGGCCTTCAACTGACGAATTTCTTGGTGACGTCTATCATTCTCTACCTCAATCTCTTGATGGACTTTCACAGCTTCGATCAGTTCTTCAAGAAGGGTTCGCTCATCCTTTGTCAGTGGTGCTCTGGCCCCGGATGTACTCACAGACATGGATGAGGATGAAGATGAAGAACTTGAGCTAGAGCCATCACCACAGCCTTGATCTTTGGAACCTTCATCTGGAGGCACAGAGCGATCATCATCAATGGGCATCTCTGGTGGAGGCACCGAGCGATCATCATCAATAGGCATCTCTGGTGGAGGCAGGGCAAGCATTGGAACCGTGGGCATCTCTGGTGGGGGCAAGGCAAGCATTGAAACCACACCTTGGGAAGAGGATGACGCACGCGCACGCCCATCTTTTTTGCTTTGCAGCCAAGCCATCAATGCAGCATCGCAGTCGGTGGACCAAGCAACATTTTGCGCAAGTGTACCATGGTTCACAGCATTGCGCCTGATGGTGTTCATCTGAACTTGAAGTTGCTTCTTGGTGACCTCTGCCCTGTCAGCATGCACAGCAACAACTCCACGACGAATGTTATCAAGGATTTCAGCCGCACCAGGAGGCTGAGAAGATGCTGGTTCTGCTGGTTTGCTTCCAGGCATGTTGCCCACAAGTTCCAGCGTGATGTGCTGCCGCTCATTGACATAGGCTTCCACGGCAAGCTGCATGCGCGGAGACTTCAGCATGGGCTAGCACTTCTCCCGTCTAAAAGATGATGCAGGTACTGTCAATGGGATAATGCCTGCAATACGCATTCAGAATGCAGCCATACAAAGCTATCACAAGAACAACCAATCTTGACACGCAGACATGGCTCAACATGTATGGTTCAACATGTATGGTTTGAGATTACATTGTGTGTGAAGCAGACATGAGTACATGAAAAGCAGACGAAGCAAACTAACATGTATAAGTTTGTTTGTTTTTTCGAAGCTTACGTGGCTGTCGGGCTAGTTCTACTGTAAGCGCTGCATTGCCTGAATTGTGGTGGTCAACGGCACTACATACACATTTCTGCCATGTGCATTCCTGGCATGGATTCTACGCCAATGGTATTCATTCAAAAGACGTCTCCATTTTTGTCGGTCATTATGTGAAGGGAGCCGACCGCCCTCACGCTTACGAATCCATCTTTTTACAAGCGACCAACGATTCTCAATATGATTTGTTGTAAATCCATTGACGTTGGTAATTTCACCGGCGCTATGGTTGACAATCTCATGCCAAAGATCTGCGTCGTCCCAGCCTTTCTCTTGCTTCAATTGTTGCAAAGCCGCTATGGTCGCTTTCCAGCCATCAGTGACTATGATAGTTTTGGGTTGCAAATTGAGAAGGCGAAGACAATCAAGAATCTCAGCTTGGCCCCGAGGTTTGCCATTGCATCCTGCGGGTGCTCCAAAACACGAAAGAGGAAACGATCTGGCCTGCGGGGTACAGTAGCGCCCCAGACCCAGACTTGATCAGGTCCTGCACGGGAACTTTTGCTAAGGGCACCACTCCGCAACTTGTTCAAGTGAGACTCATCAACTTCGACAACATACTTGTACTTCTTGTAGAAGGACATAGCATCAGGAACTTTCTTTTGTGACCGAGGATGGAACTTGCTGCATGTAGCAGGTCGTTTGCATGGTGCGTGGACTTTGGAGGAAAGCTTTTTGATGGCATGCTGCTTCTTCATCGCAGTCTTCCAAACTTGTCTTGCTGGCTTCTTGCTCAAGACCTTCTTCGGTGGAAGCTTCCGAACTTGGTTTGCTGACTTCAAAGATGTGGAAGTGATACTATAGGAAGTAGCATGATGCCAAAGATCTGCTTTGACTGCTTGATGAAAAACTTCTTCCCATTGGTTCAGCTGTTGGTGCCAAATACCTGCTTCCCGAATAATAATCCAGGAAGGGTAATCGAAGCTCCACATACACATGCAGTCAAAGAAGGTCAAGAAATGTTTTGCCTTAACACCTTGAAGGATTGTTCCTGATGTCAAAGATCGTGACGTGTTGGTACACTGGTGACAACTTTTCTTCGTTGAGACCCAATCACATGACTGTCGATCTTGCCCAAGTCGAAGTCTAAGACGAAAAGAGCCAGCACACACTTCACACGTGTAATCTTGAGGCAAGAGATCTGCATGCATGGCGAACAGAATCCCCTTCAAGGATGTGTGGTTGGGGTAGGGATCAGTTCTTTCCAAAGAAGCCCACTTGACATGATGTAGACATGCTGTTCTCGACTGGATGCAGGTCAAGCAAAACTTCTTCTGGAAGTCTTCCATGCTCTTGTAGGTTGCCATTGCTGACCATAGGGCAGGACATACACACGCAAGCTCTGGCGACACCTATAGCAAATCTATAGAAGAATGCAGCAGAGAACTACTGAGATAATTTCCGTTAAGCGTGTATGCAACAGAGTATCAATGCAGAAACAATTGCAATCAGTTGCATGAATGCAGACATGAGACAGAATATGTTGGATGCTTTAACACTAAGCAATGTTTGCGCCGCACCAAGGTCAAAACTGTGTCCTGACTGCTTCAATCTGCATGCTAGAAGACTCATGACTTTTTTTAGTATTGAAGTTATGGTTACATAAACATGTTGAAAAGGGGAGGTCCGAAATCATCCCCTAGCCACATATACATATTCATATTCATATGCATATACATATACATATACATTTACATATACATATATACATATAATTATATATACATATACATATATATACACATATACATATATACATATACATATACATATACATATATATATATATGTACATAATTAATTATATATATATATGTACATATATATATATATATGTACAATATTCATAAGGATATAAATATATACAAGACATTTGAATATCTTGGAGTGCTACGAGTAGTGTGCATCAAGTCAATGGTTTTTGTCTCAACGCTGCACATCTGTCTCCGCCAGCAAAGTTGCACCACCGCCCTGGCCTCGTAGCCATTTTGAACAGTCCTCCATCAAAGGTGTTTGAAGCTTTGGGATTCACTGGTGCTTTGAAAATGCCAAAAAAAATCCCAAACAACATCATTTAAAGCTGTTTCGCCACTGGACGTTGTTTACGTTGCGACCTTGTTTGCTTGCAATACCATCAAAAACGCACCATTTCTGCACTCGTTTCTTCGTTTCCGTTCTTTTGGCCACAAGCGCAGGATGTCATCTCTGAAATTGCACCCTTCTGGTCTCACCCAAAAAGGGGGGAAAAAACACGGCTCGAGTGCCTTTTGAGCCTAGCATCTATCAGCCTTTCTACCCGAAATATATTTCAACATATTTTAACATAATTAGCCATGGAAAATAGCCCGTTTACAGATGATTTACATTGCTTTACCTATCCAACATATTCAAACATTGTGTGTTTCGAGCTCGCAGCTCGCAACCTGTTAAAGAACCAGAGGGCATAAGATTCTACTAGGAACATTTGGTGCCTTTCAACCGTGTTTCCCACTGTTGATGCCTCACACAACTCAACGCACTACGCCACTGCACTCTTTGGGCCATAGACGTCATCAGCGCAGCGGCAACGCTGTCCTGGGGATTTTGGTACCCCAAGTAATGGCCATGTTGGCTGACCATGACTGGGCCATCATGCAGCCTATCAGCGGCAAGCCAAAACGACCATGCCGGTGGAACGCTTTGTTTTTACGGATGGCTACATTCAAAAATACAAAATGACATCTCTATACCATCCTGATGGGAGGAGGCAAGGATTCCACATCGCCAAGACACTGAATGATGGGACTGCCAGAGTTGTCTCTTCCTCGGCGAGTTTGTGGGCAGCTGAGAGCCAACAAAACAAACAGCATAATGTTGGACCCTGGTTGTGCAGGTCTTGGTCGAAACTAGGCTGTTGATATGTTGGAACATCGAGAAAAAACTGATCTATCATCAAAGGGAAACTTTGACCCATTGGCAACCTACCCTGAGACAGCACACTTTCACTTGCATCCAACCTTACTCAAAGCCAATTGTTCCGACATCCTGTCATTTTTCAGTGCATAGTTGCCGCACCTGAAACACAAAACAATCCCACTGACAGCCCCACCATCAGCACATCGTTGTAGGGAAACTCGTGGGAATGTATCGAAATATACAGCATCGAAGAATCATATATTAGATGTGGATAAATTACGGTAATTCAACCTAATATGAGGCCATATATGGATAGCTATCCCAATCCGAACCATCATTATATTGACGTCGCAGTGGGACAATAAAACATAACAATAATAACACTAGTCACTAGTAATATCAATATATAACAATAATGACAATATTAATTATATAATAGTAATAATAGTAATAACCATAGGCATCCATAGGCTATCATTACAAGTATGGGGCTTATATCCCAACTTATGGACTTTACCACCATGACAGCCATAAAACGCACACCCCAGCTATGGATCACAGCCCAAGGTGCAGCTGAATTGCCTTCTCCCAGGGCAAGTCTTCTCCACCTCGGCCAGCGCTGAGCGGTGGCTTTTTTGAAACATGGGGCTGCCCCAAAAATCCCCAGAGCTACCTGGTACACGTACATGATTCCTCTATGTCACGAATATATAAATATGAATATCACCCACGTGGATATATTTATACCCTCTAGGAATTTCACTGTTTGCGAGTTGGATAAAGACCTATTTTTGATACAAGTAGGTAAATTTGAATCATCATAAATGGGCCCTGTTCCATCACTATTTTCAAGTACCAGAGTCATCAAACCCAGTTGGACAAACCCAGTTTGGACAAACCCAGTGGGACCTGTCAAGAGGCTAATGGCAGTGCCAAAGCTGATGGCATCTGGAACCATTCCCTCGGCGCACAGAGAAGTTCAGCTGATTCCCAAAGTTGGCTTGTATCGTCATTGCAATCTTGGCTTTGGCACCCTTTGGTAAACTAACATAACTATGGAAAATCACCATGTTTAATGGGTAAATCCACTATAAATCACCATTTTCAATAGCTATGTTAGTTTACCAGAGGGACAACCATAGGAACATGTTGCATCCACAATGCACCGGCAGAGAGTTATCAGTTTGGCCTCAGGACGTCATCAGAGAATTTAGTACAGAAAGCACAAATATGATGTTCATGAGACCACCGCCTCATTAACTGACAAAGTCACTGCCTTTGCGGTGCGGATTGGTACCATAGTTATGACCGCTTATGATGGCATTTGTTTCTATCCACCCTCATGCAGTCATGCATGGCCCTGTGCACTTGCAGTGTTTTGGAAGGTCTTTGACATACCAGGGCCAGTGGCCTTGCAGAAATCTGAGTACCAAAACCAGTAGCCTTGGTATGGCATATCATACGGCAAGATGGATCAAGCTCACTAACCAGCCAACATCATCTCCCAAAAATCAAGCAAGCTGCTCGCAGTGTTGGAAATTCATCCAAGAGCTGCATCGTTAACCTCAGTTTTCAACAGAAACCTGGGATATTATGATGATTTGTGGCATATCCTACCATCCCCCCAATGAACATAGATGCCCAACTAATCACCAATTTTAGGGGAAGTTGTCTTCCAAACCCCTGAATTGGGCATGGTCAACAACGCCACGGCCTCCAGGTACAGCCGGAGAGGAGCGCATTGAAGCCTTGCTGAGATCAACTGACTTCCGCAATGCAATCCTTCTAGCGGCACTACATATGTTTCCACCATGTTCCACCTCTACAATCATATATAAATAATATATATATATATTATATATAATCATATGATATACATATATTAATATATAATATAGATGTCGGTGCAATCCTAACCATAGCCGCAACATATCCACCTTTGCCAAGCCCAGCATGGTCTCTGGGTTGCCCCGCTTGGCAACGACATCTGCCGGCACATCAACGTCAACGCCACAGACCAGTTGGAAGCAGCTTCCAAGGCGCTGACGGCTGAGCTCAGACCTTGGGAATTTACGATTTTTCAGGGGGTTCCGACAGAATTCCAAGGGATTTCTAAGCGATTTCCAATGGATTCACGGGTTTTCTGAGGTCGACCTAGTTCTGGGAGGCGTTGGCTGCGGTGAAGCAAAGGATCAAACATGTAACTATCTATCTAATCTAATCTAATCTAATCTAATCTATCTATCTATCTATCTATCTATGTGTGTGTGTGCAATGGCTTCCAATCCTGCCGTGTGAACTAATTACATCTAATTACTTCGAGCTGCCGCACATGAAGTGTCCAGATTGCAGTGACAATCAAATCGGTGCAATCAGTAAGCAGGCTATACTGTGCTATACTATCATGAACTATCATGAAATTCAATGATTTTATATATATACAGTGTATATATATATATATATGATTTTGAGGTCATTGTGCTCTCTCCTGGTGCCGACTGTCTGAGTCTGAGCCACTGTAGTCTGTGGATCTCACAGCCTTGACCTTGGACCAAGTGGATTGAGAGATGGCTGATGGGTGTTGATGAACAAGATGCCAACACATGGAAGAATCCCGGTGCTAATATGTATCAACTGGATTCAACTGGTCCATGACCAGCCCAAAAAATCACCTTTCATGTCAAACCCCTGATCTTGGTTTCCAAAATCATGGCATGTCCTTTAGGCACATCTTAGCTTGTTTGCTAAGCACGATACAGAATTGTAAAGGATGTATTGCCAGCAGCTTGTGTTCCTGAATTATGGTAATTCCTTCCAAACACTTTTTTTTTCAGGTCTACGTTCCCATGTGCATCCATGTCTGGCACAAAAGATTTCGTCCCTAAGAATGCCATAAACCACCCATTTGGGAATGCTTTATACGTTTATATATACCACGGTGATTTAGGGGATGGTTTAATATTGTTTTACCCACGCTTTACCCATCCTTGAACGAGCTCAACAAAACCTTCTAATCTTTGCCGAGACACGCGCAAACCTCAGATCAATTTCATCAGGGCAGCATGCTGAACTGCAAGCACCTCAAGTAATTACACAGTAAATCTAGGAGAAGTCTCTACTTTGCCAACTTTCATTGCAAACTACAGCCACCAAACGGCTGAAACGACGAGGTTTTCATGTGGGGCGTTCGAGACGACGCCTCCTTTCTGGGGGCCCAACCAGCTAAAATCATCAGGACATAGGGCCACTGCCTGCCGGCCGGCCAGTTGCCACGAAGGGTTGATGCCACAATTGAAGGCTTGAGGTTTTGATGAAAAAAGGCTACCCCAATTCAGATAAACTATGAATATTAACTATGAGTCAACTATAAACCTATTACATTAACAGCATTAACATATTTTTGTTGATAATTATTGGCCCTATTAACTATGTCAACTGGGAAGGTGATGATACATGGGATTTGGGAGAACCCAAGGTTTCCTTTCCGTCGCTCCGAGATCACCAAAAGCGCCTGGGTGGAGGACCTTGGGAAGTTCCATGGTGCAACATCCATGCGAACTCCAGAAGTTGCACTGGCTAATCAACGATGGATTTATGTAAAGCAGGTATTTACAATAATTATCATATATCCATGTGCGTGTGACGATTAGTAATGAACAGCCAATTCATCAATAATAACTGTGCATCAATGTGCTAGTTCTTCCACTGTACATTTTCAACATAACTATGGTAACTATGGTCCATTTAGTTCGATGATCTAGCTATTAAACATGGTGTTTTCCAAGTGTTTCCATGGATCTTCCATAGCTACGGAGGACATCACCAGAAGGGTACCCCTGTTCCATCGCGCCGAGGTGCCCATCAGGCAGTTGTAGCACACCACATCTGCCCTGATGTCCGAGTCCTAATGACCCCAAGATGATGTTATATCCCATAGGATCCATGTATGGTATATATGGTAACATTTACCATTAATATACCCCCAATGTTAGCATATATACCATACATGGATCCTATGGGTGATGTAGCTTAAACACTAGAAAGGTAGAAGATGGTAGAAGATCTGCTGGAATGGTGATGAATTATTTTTCGATATTTTTTGGGCGATACGCTTCAAATCTTCAACTCACCAAGTCAAAAATGAGTCACGGCGTACTTCCTTTTCCGAGAACATGCAATGTAGACATAATGTAGATCCATCTGCCGCCCCGATCCAAAGATTCAACATATCCAACATATCTCCGACATATCTCCGTCCTTCATCAGTTGCAGCATCTGAGAAGCCACCTGCCAACAGAGTGCCTGTTGCGCAGCCTTCATGACGGAGCTCACAGACTCCACCTACCAGCCATTCAGTGCTGATTTGAGAGTCACCCCAATCTGCACAATTCTGCACATCATTGCACATAAATCAACAGGGTCTCTTAGAATTCTTGGATTTCCTCTACATTAGCAGTTTGGGGTGCCAACCATTATTTATATATCACTATCTCATCTCCAACAAATCACCTTCATTGTAGGCTCCCACCTCAGCCCGCCTGCCGAGACATCAGCTCCACAGCTGCTCCCCAAAGCGATGCCTCCGACTGACAGGTCATACTACCCGTATCATGCATGCATGTAGCAGTAACCGCCCAAAGATAGGAAAGTAATGAAAAGTAACATCCTACTGGATCTAAAAGGTACCACGGTCTTCATTGACCTTGCGATAAAGGTATTTTTTTCTGAATTCTAGATTGCCAACAGGGTGGTAAAACTTTGTTCTACTTGCCCCAGGTCAGACCCTGAAGCCTTCTCACAACTCTGCACAACCAGCTGGATGCTCACTGTATCTGGCTGAAGTGACGATGCCTTCGTGCGTGGCAACGTAAGGCTCCGTTTCGGAGCCGGCTGGAGTGGCAAGAAACGCATCGAACACCATGAGTCACCGTGAATCATAATGAATCATCATGAGTCATCATGGATCATCGACTTAGCCTTATCTCAATCTTAGATCAACCTATGTAGCCTTATCTCAACCTTAGGGCCTTAGGCTCCCATTGAAGCCACCTTGACATCCTTGATCAAGGCCAAGGCAAGCTGCCACCTTGCACCTGCCAGGGATGGACTCGGATGGACCATGGATACCATGGCCAATAGCTGTGGTAACTTACGGAAAGGGGATATATGTATTTCCATCATTTTCTATCTTAGATCATGTCAGAGTTTTTTAGATCATATCAAATTTCCTATACTATTCTATACAATACAATTCCTATAGATGGCCTTTGGATGCCGTTGGACTGTTTCAGGTGATGAGACCGGCACAATTTGCCCCCAATCATCGCCTTTGGCAAGAGTTGTCAGGACTGACCCCACGGCAATTTGATCCCGCAGCATCCTTGCTGGCACAAGGAGAGTGCTTGAGGGTGTGCAAGTGCTACATCTGCTACGTGTTCGTGTGCGAAATGGTCCACAACCATGAAAATGAAACCATGAAACACAATGAAACACATGTACTGCAAATACATCTGGTCAAATGATGCTCCTCGGTGGTTGCAGCCAAGGCTCTGAGGACTTTCCCTGCCAGGCGACTGGTGAACTGCAAGAATGCTTCAATGAATCAATGATGATGTGCTAAACCCAATGCCATAAACCATCCCAAAAATCAGCACAAATGGCTTCTATAAACCATTCTCATGAGAGGTTTATCATTGGGTTTCCCACATTATGCAATTTTCTCAAACCACGCGCATCTAGAATCTAAAAGCGACTGGTGGCTGCGAGGCCGCGGTTTTTTCCAAACTGCTGTCAAGTTCCCCACAACTCCAGAAGTGCAAGCAGGATACCAAAGTACTTCCAGAGCCGCTTCCCAGCTACACTGAGACACGAGAATGGTCCTGCGCTATGCACCCATCTAGCGAGAACGGGGTTCCGGTGTGACGAAGGGTACCTTCCGGTAATCAAAGGTGGCTTGCTAGAAAATCCGATTTACCCATTAAAATTTCCATTCCCTGGGAATCGATGATTGCAAATATGCACATTTGAGGCATGATGTAGGCATGATGTCAACATGTTGCATACGGAGGCAATGATGCCAAATTTTGCTAACATTTGTTGGTACCCATAAAAGTCCATTAAAAGTCCATCAAATGTATGAGGATTCACACCATCATCCATTGCGGCTCTCCAGGTACAACACATCTTGGTGTTAGGAAATCTTAAGAGGCATCAACCCCTCATTGTTGGGCATCCAAAACATGTGATCAGCGGTGAAAGAAACACCATGTGTGGAAAATATCAAGAATATCGTTAAACATCAGGAACATTATTTCAAGAAACTCACGTTTAACAGGGCCCCAAAGGTGCATGTTTCTATTTTTTGGCGTATGAAACGCCATTTGGCAAAGCTTAAGGCTGCCAAGGCCACTAGCCATGGTACATCGACTGTGACCGGTCATGGCGAATCTACTACTGGTGCCAAAGGGGCTTCGAAGGATTACTTGGGTTTTTGGTCAGGTGCCATCCCGCCTTGCTCTGGGTTGGTGGTTTTGTGTGCAAGGTGCTTTAAGCTAGCAAGGGCTGTGGAATTTGTAAAGTTTGAATATCGGGATGGATTAAATTGCATTGTTGGGTTCTTACAGTTACCATATGTCATACTCGTGGATCTTGACGCATTAACAGGATAAACCACAAAAAGAGGTGCTGGGAACCAAAACAACATTGTGTTATTTTTGGCTGCCTGGGGGGTGGTTCTCGTGCAATATTATATAATATATATATATATTGCACGAGAACCACCCTAGGTTTTACTCACTTTTTAGTTTGCAAAAAGCATCTCACTGCTTGGTCAAAGGAACTTTGAAACAAATTGTGATGGACCCTCGTGTTGAATGACACAAAGTGGTGTCAATTGGACACGGCCTCGACAACCTATGAGATTGCGGAGCAATACAAGTCCCACTGATGTTCGGGCTAGGCAGCCTGTATGCAGCTGAAGTGCCAGGTCCCAAATAATTGGATTGGTTTAGCAAACCAATGCCCGAAAGTCGCCATCCACATTCTTCTGAAAAATGCAGGAGGGCCCAAGTTGAGCAATACATGGGAAACATATGGGCAGTCCCGTAGGCATGAACTTTGTGGCTGCTCCACCTCAAGAGAATTGGCCAATAATTAATTTCAATAGCAGACCATTTTGGGGTACTCCCATTGATCTGGAAACTACCCTTGGAAACCATCCTGCAGTTGGATCCAAAAGTAAAAAAAGTAAATAGATACCATCATATAGTTGATTGTAAATCCCCTCAAATAAATCTTCCCTGTGCAGCTCAGGAACCGGAACCACCCAAAATATGTTCATGATGGTGCACACCAAGGCTAGCAGGGCCCATCTTGCTGCCACCTGGTTTCCCAAACGAACACATTCCACATCTTCATCACCAAAAATGCCCCAGTTGTCGGCGTTGCGCCGCGTTGTTGAAGAACTGATCCATATCCAACTGAGCAGAAATGATTTTCTGGATGGGTATGTTTTTTCTTTTGAGAGTAGCACTTGGTAAGTGGTTTGTGATCCCATATGATATAGATAGATAGTTAATATAGTGGGGAATATTCCATATATATATATATATATAATGGGGATATAAGTGGAGATACCCCATATATTTATAATCAAAGTGGGGTGCGCCCCAAGTATATAGTTCTTGCCAACTTTACCTTGGTTATTCCAAGCCACCTATTGCAGTGATTCCCTGAAGAAAAAGAGACCAGATCGGCGAATCCTCAAGACCTTCGTCAGGGCCATCATAAACCTGGGATCGATGATGATCCATGGGCATAACCCACACAGAAACACAGTTAAAAGGGTCCTAGTTCCCCAGTTGGAAGTCAGTCAAGTAACCCTTCTGGTGTTGTCAAGTCATGGTATCAATTCTTCAGAAGATCTAGACCCCTGCAATCGATGCCATCGCTTCGGCACTGCCTAGTCAGCTCCCCCTGACCACAGAAGAGCTCGCACATGTCTACGTCCTTGCCAAGGAAGAAGGCAACCAAGGCTCACCCCCCAATGAGATGGGTACCATTTCACCTCACCTCAAAACATAGGTTTAGCGAGCTGATAGAAACCTTCAAACCCCCAAGGATCATTCATGGAATTTGGTTTCCCCACAGGCAATGCCAAGATATCCAAATCATAGGCCTTGCTTTAGGGCCCGTGATGAAATGTGAAAGCTTAGAGTTCTATAATATGGATACCAAAAACCCAAGGACACCTGATTCCATCCCATATTTGCAAGTAAGGATCTCGCATGGTGTCATATGGTCTCCCAGCCAGATAAGTTTGGAAGCAATAGTCGATGCAATGAATCCCGGGGATTTTCCCATGGCCATGGTGGTGATACAGGGTCTCCCTGAACTGGGTGTGTAAAAAAATCGGAACCAATTATGTAATTGGTAATTAGGTAGGCCGATGGATCCGCCGAGAATGTCAGTGCCTACATGGCGACATGCCAATGACATCTGATGATGCGATGATCACGTGACGATCATGGTCAACTTCTGCGTGCAATTTTGACGACTATGACTACGGCCCCATCCGCATGGTTCCGGCACAGGTTCCGCGTGGTTCCAGAATGACCATTTTATTTAAAGCTTTAGACCCCCAAATGCTGCCAGGGCACAAAACCAACGGTGCTCCTAGAAAGAGCAACATGGCTCCCTTTCCCTTGCTCAAGTTGCGAGGCATGGCTGAAAGAAAGGGAAGATTGGTGCAACCCAAAGGCCTACACTGAGGGGGCCCCAGAGCCTGAAACTTTCAAGCCAGCAAAGGGAAGCGGTTTTGATTTCCCTGGTGGGAAAGTTGATACCAAAAAAAGGTGGAGAAGGCACCCCCCCATGTGGGAAAATCAATAACCCATTTGGGTCACTGTGGGTTTGGGGTGGTTGTTTGCTACTGGGTTTTGATTGCTCGACACTGTGGTCTAGATTCCACATGTTAGTTTATTGTTTTGATTCAAAATGCAAAAGAATAACCCAAAGGGACCCAGAACGAATTAGTAATACTAGTGATTTCTCACAAACCCTCAGCAAATTTGCTGATGTTTCTTGTGGTTTCCGATCAGATGCAACGAAATCTCGACTACCAAAATTAAAAGGTCATTTGCAAATATTTGCAATAACTACACTTTGACAATTAGTCCCAGTGGATCTCATCAGCTGGTTCAAGCAATAGCCACATCCCCCATCACATCAACAGATTTTGTGCTAATCTTTTTTTTGGAAATCTAGATCCCACAGGTCTTCACATTTTTGACACTCGCTGACTGCATCGATCTTGGTAATTGTTGCGACCAAACAATGCCCCCAAACACTATTTCAAGTGTTAAAATTCGAAAGTTGGTCTCACAACATATGAAGATTGGCCAGTCAGGACACCTGAGATCACTATGTTATAGGATGAATTGACAGATGATTTCACATGTAATTTCGGTTTGGTCATCATCCGCTGTCAGGTCTTAAATTCCAAAAGATGGTCTCACAACAAATCAAGATTGACTAGTTGGGATGATGTGACAATTTGGTTACTGCAGTTTGTTTTTGTGATCTACCCCAGGCATCCTAGCACGGTAAGGGAATGTACTTCCAGCCAGCTAGCTTCACGGCAAGCTAGAAAGATAATCTCACAAAATTTCAAGATTGGCCAGCCAGGGCACCCGAGATCACTAGGATGATTCTGAAGTTGATTTGGTCAAATAATGTTTTTGTGTGATCATATAAAAATTCCAGGGCTGCCAGCAAGCACTAATGGAATCTACTTCCAGCCC